AACAAAAAAGAAACCACCCTAAATATTTTATTTCTTACAGATACAAAAATTTTTTTAAATATTTAAGTACTATAGTATCACAGATGTGCAAAATATTACACATGAATATCATTTTAATTTGTTAAGAAGTATTGTGAGTATTGTGCTTTCAAAATGGCACATCCATCCACTAATTCTACCCACTTTATTCAGACTGAAGACTGTTGGCAGGGGCACATGAAAGTGCAGTCTGGTGTCTGGCAACTTTTGCTTAAATTATAGCAGTTATTGGAATCATGCTGTGTCTCTTAAAAACAAAACACAAAAATGGAAAAGGATTAAATGCAATACAATTGCTATTTTCAAAGTAGTTGTCACTGAACAGACCTGCCTCACATTTTTTTTAAAAAGGCATGAAATATCACAAAATTTCACAACTTCTAGCAAGAGCATTTTATGACTTCATTCTAGAAAATTAAATTAAATATTTTTCTGCCCCAATTTAATCTCCAACTAAGCAAATTGGTATTTCCAAAAATTTATCTACTGCATTTTAAATAAGAAGAAATCTGTTTATTCTAGCTAAGTATTAGAACAATTTCAGTTAGTATACTTCTGCACTTTGGCTCAAATAACCTTTTGATTAGCTAATTTACAAAATTTTGTTATCTTCTCTACTTACATCAACAGGAATGGGTCAATCTACTTTTCTCTGAATTTGAGTCTTTCTCTATTTTTTTTCTTTTCAATGCACAGTCTTTAGCTTTGGTAAAAGGTCTTTAGCTATGTCCTGAGCCATTACCTGCTGACAAACAAATAATTATGAAACATAGAAGACAAGATTAACTCAATTTTATTTTATTCAGTTATACATATTCTGCTCATCACTTTGCTCGTGGCTTCTTTAACATCCTTGTTCCTCAAACTGTAGATCATAGGGTTCAACATGGGGATCACTGTGGTGTAAAACACAGCCACCATTTTCCCCTGCTCCACGGACTCCTCTGTGGGACGTCTGAGATACATGAAAATAAGAGTCCCATAAAATATGATGACCACTGTCAAGTGCGACCCACAGGTGGAAAATGCCTTCCTCCTCCCTTCCGCTGAGTGCATCCGTAGGATGGCAATGAGAATGAACAGATAGGAAATGATAACCACGGTCAGGGAATAGGTGAAGTTAATGCCGGCAAGAATGATCATGGTATATTCTTTGACAAAGGTCCCAGCACAGGCCATTTTGATAAGAGGTGGGTCTGCACAGTAGAAGTGGTTGATCTCAATTTTTCCACAGAAGTACAAGCCATAAGTCCATAATGTTGCTGCCAGACTAGTCAGAAAACCATATATGTAAGGGAAAGAGATCAGTCGAATACAGACAACCCTTGACATTCTGCTGCCATAGAGCAGAGGTTTCCCAATTGCCATGTATCTATCAAAGGCCATCACAGCAAGGATAAAAATTTCTACATGGACAAGGGCAATGAAGAAGAAACACTGTACCAGACAACCAGTGTAAGAGATAGTTTTTGTCTCTGATAACAGGTTTTCCAACATTTTAGGGGTGACATTGGAAGAGAACCACACGTCAACAAATGACAAATGACTGAGAAAAAAGTACATGGGGCTATTGAGCTGTGGACTGACCTTGATTAACGTGATCATGCCAATATTGCCCACTAAGGTGATAATATAGACCACAAGAAAAATGATGAAGAAGAGAACTTGCCATTCCCGATGGCTAGTTAGTCCCAAAAGAATAAACTCTTTCACATCGGTGAAATTGAGCATTTTCTCACTTCTAGGTCAATGTTAGTTACAAATCTCTGTGACAACAAAAAGGAAATAAATTTAAAAATCAGGTATTGATTATTTATTAATTTATACTTTTATTCATGTCTATTTTCATTATTTTCTTTATTACATAGCTATAACTGCCTTTTGTCATTATTTTCAGTAAATCTTTTATGAACAGTTGCTATGCAACAGGATCTCTGAAGGTCACTAAGAATAATAAGTTCTCAGGCTCATTACATAACAATTATACAAAATATTATGATTGAAACATGCTAGTACTAAATATTGTGGTTAGCCAAATTTCCACTAACTTTTAGACATCCTTCATTTCTAATCCTGGCTCATTTGGTAGTTTCACATTTTTAAGATATTTATGGAGAGTTATACTTCTCTTTTAACCACAAGTCAAAAATAAATTTTTATGTCATCTTCTCTTATTTTAAGTATATTCTCCAGGATTAGAAATGAAAGCCATTTAATCAAATAACTCATTCCTAAATGTCAGATAAAAATATATTTTGGATCTAACCTCATAGTTGTACTTAACTTAAACTGAAGTGGGACAAACTAACCACAGTCATCATCAAAACTAAGTGAAAAGGGTGAACCACTTATACACATTCATACATATTCATACATTATACATATTCCCTGCATACGGACTCCTTGGCAAAGCTAACATGTAATTATAATCTACTAGGTGTCATCCACTGTTATGTTCTGGAGACTCAAAAGTAAGATAAGGAGCTGTTCACCTTTCTGCATTTTTTAAAGATTAGCAAGAGAGAAATTCTTATTTGGAAAGTCAGATCTGATTGCACAGTACCACAGATGTTTCATCACAAAAGAGGTATAAAAGATGGGGGTGTTGGTATTTTGCAAAAGCTAAATACATGAAAACCTGAGTGGTGGTTAACCGGGTAACAGCTATGATGAACTGACAGGGAAAAATGGAGTAGTTAGGTCTTATTTTAGGGAGTACAAAGTCTGGAAAGAAATAGAGGATTTGGGATCTTAGAAGCACTGACAGTATTTTCTTCACCATTTAAAGGAAAACTATATACACAAATTTTCTATGTTGTAACACTCTGTTTTTCAAATTAAGTTTCCAATAGATATAGATTTCCCCCAAAGGACCAAGAATGAGGAAAAATATTAAGTATAAAGTTAAAAAATTGTGTTTCTATTGTCTGGTTGAATTCTAGCTCCATGACGTTTTATGAACTTGGGAAGGTTTTATTTTTTGTTTGTTTTTAGTTTCTCTATGCCTTAATATGATGTAGCAGCAATAATAATATTCATTTCATTGTGTACTTACGAGCATGAAAGATATATTATACATTAACACACAATAAATATACAAAGGACAATTGTTATTAAATAAACTCCTGAAAATTATAGCTTCCATTAATAGTTTGTAATAATCAAATCTCTATAGAAAAATTCTCTCTCTCCCTCATTTCTCTCTCTTTCACATATATAAATAACACACCTATACACACAGATAACATATATGGAATAATTGATGTTAATTAATTTTAAAAATCCAATATACAACCTTCATCTGGCAGTTCTAGGCAGATTCATTTTTATACCAACCTGAGAATGAAGAGAAATATCTCCAGTAAGGATGTAGAGTTGAAAAGTGAATGCTGTGTAAGAGATGGAAAACAACTTATATATACCAGGCAAAAGAGAAACTGGAGGTCCATAGAGACATTTCCTTTAAATCTTTTCCTTAGTAAAAAAAGAAGCAATTAAGAAGCTTCCCTTAGAAATGACCCTGGAGGAAGTACATCTCTAGAGGAAGAGTTGACTGTTGAGTTTTGTTTTTTCAATAACAGATTTGCACAATTTTATTTCCCCTCAAACTCAAGTTGTTTTGGATGTGTCTAGGATCAAATAACAATATTTGTTTTAGGTTTGCATCACACTAAATCTGGTGATGGTGTTACTCAACTTGAATAAGGTCATCTTATGTTCTGCACTCAGAGTCTATGCCACTTGGCTTTTCCAGAGAAAGAGGGTTTGCATCACACTAAATTTGGTGATGGTGTTACTCAATAAGGTCATCTTATGTTCTGTACTCAGAGTCTATGCCACTTGGCTTTTCCAGAGAAAGAGGGAATGATATTCCTTATAATTAAAATTGTAGCTTCTGGAAGCAGGAAAAATATATATGCTTCCACTTACTCAGATTATAAGCAAGGCAAACTAGAAACTTAATCATAGCAACAATACAGCATTTATTAGAGTTAACACATGCCAGACACTACTAATTTAATTTAATCTAATTCTCATAATTATCTTCTTAGGTAATTGTATTATTGCCATTGTATAGAAAAAAAACAAAACACGAAAACCCAAAACAAGTCTTAGAAAATGGTACCTTACTCAAGGTCACACTCAATGAATCAAAAAATAGATTCCTAATTCCATTATTTGATTCCAGTTATACTGTTAATTACCTCATTCTATTGCCCAACAACTATTAACAGAGCAGACCAAAAATTTCAATTTCTGACCCAAAAGGAGTTTCATTTTCACTGTATGACTGGTGTATATGTTTTATTATATCATAGTCTTTATGGACTTGAGAAGGGAAAAAGAGTGAATATATCTCCACATCTCCTCCAAATTTTCTAAAGATAACTTGATTAAATATACTTATGGACACACACTCTAAATTCCAAAACACCAACAAGATTGTATTATCACCTCCTAATAGTCATTATAAGGTAAGACACAAATAGGATCTTACATAGATATCATAGGATACTAAGTATGCTCACATATAAATAAAGTTTATTGAATTAATTAGTATCATTAGCCTACATAAAGAAAACACAATCTTTTATAAAATCTTGATTTCTACAACAGCCAAATGCATTTAGAAAGCACATCCATGAAGGCATTTTTATGATTCTGCAAAATGAAAACAAAAGCTTACTTAGTTGTAACATTGAGACTCTGAGAAAAAAGTTTTATGTGACAAAATATTTTAAAAGGGATTTCACTCAAGAACATTTGTGGAGACGTTATCAGGTATCTAAGATCCTCCCATCACCTGTGAAATAAAGTGTTACTCAATTCAAGTATTGGGAGTCATTGGAAGTGGGTTAGGTAATCATTACTTAAATGAGTAAAATTTGAAAGTGAGGTATTTTTTAAAAGCGGGGTGTAGATTGCTATTCATCAAAGAGGCGATGGTAGAACCCTATGTTTTAGCCTGACACGGTGTTCTGGAATAAAAATTTCCTGAACTTTCTTGCAGGGAGATTAGAGAATATGATTAAGTTGGCCCCAACTATCTGAGAAAACATGTTGTATAGAACATTTAGAACATCTGAATCATTTGCACATGTGGGCTGGCTGCAGAGCAGCCATTGTGCATCATAAAGTGACTGTAGGAATGCAAGCCATCTTTAAAACAAAACAAAACAAACAAACAAGCTGTAAAGGACTCAGAGACCAAATCTAATAAAGCTGGCATACAAATTGGAGACTGCTTACTTCCAGATTTTATTTTTTTACTTGACAGAAAAACAAAACAAAGTGAAAATTTAGATTTGTTTAAACCACTATTTTTTTTTCCTGTAAGAAATGACACTAGCCCATATAGGAATGTGTATGAATTGCTTAAATGTTACCTCTTATTCTTCCCATTTTCAAGCACTTGTTCAGATAATTCTAACCTCATCAGCTACCTGACACAAAATGTGAGAAATGTATTGTGTAAAACTCGCTTAAAAAGAGATGTCTAGCCCTAACCAGTTTGGCTCAATGGATAGAGCGTCGGCCTGCGGACTCAAGGGTCCCAGGTTCGATTCCGGTCAAGGGCATGTACCTTGGTGTGGGCACATACCCGGTAGGGAGTGTGCAGGAGGCAGCTGATCGATGTTTCTCTCTCATAGATGTTTCCAACTCTCTATCCCTCTCCCTTCCTCTCTGTAAAAAATCAATAAAATATATTTTAAAAAAAGAGATGTCTAACCCAATAATATCATATCTAGCTATGTCTAGAAATATTTTTAATGACAGTTGAGCACTTTTATTTCCCCAATTTTTGTCTCCAGATTGCTTTTCTCAATGCCTCTTTCACATCCTTGTTCCTGAGGCCATAGATCATGGGGTTCAGCATGGGGATCACTGTGGTGTAAAACACAGCCACCATTTTGCCCTGTTCCACCGACTCCTCTGTGGGACGTCTCAAATGCATGCAGAAGAGGGTTCCATAGAAGATTGTGACCACTGTCAGGTGGGAGCCACATGTGGAGAAAGCTTTTTTTCTTCCTTCTGCAGAACGGCTTCTAAGGATGGCGACAAGGATGAACATGTAGGATGTGAGAATGATCAGGAGGGACTGGACATTGCTGTAGCCAGCGACTATGTACATCGATAGCTCTTTGCTATAGGTGTCAGAACATGCCAGTTTGATAAGAGGGGGATCAGCACAGTAGAAATGATTAATTTCATTAGCACCACAGAAAGAGAGGTTGTAGGTCCTCAAGGTCTCCATCACGCTAAGGAGGAAGCCATAGACATAAGGGACAATGACCAGGCGGATGCAGACACTCTTGGACATCCTGCTACTATAGAGCAGTGGATTGCAGATAGCCATGTAGCGGTCATATGCCATGACAGCCAACATGCAGTGCTCTGTGAGGACCACAGCAATGACGATATAGCACTGCACCAAGCAACCTGCATATGAGATGGTCTTCTTCTCTGATAAGAAATTTTCTAGCATTTTGGGGGTGACATTTGTGGAGAAACACAGATCTAGAACAGACAGGCTTGAGAGGAAGAAGTACATGGGAGTGTGGAGTCGAGAATCAATTTTGATTAAAACAATCATGCCCACATTTCCTATCACAGTGACTATGTAGACCATGAGGAACAGCACAAAAAAAGCAACTTGCAACCCTGGACGACTTGTTAGGCCCAAGAGAATAAATTCTGTCACTTCAGTGTAGTTTCTTCTGGACATTTCTATGTCTCATAGGAGAGGCATTAGTTTATCTAAGGAGAGATATAAAGGAATTTTTTAACCACTGAATATTGTATCAGGTTAAATATTGTTTGTTTTGCTTTTTTAATCCTCACCTGACGATATTTTTCCATTGATTTTTAGAGAGAGTGGAAGAGAGAGGCGAAGACAGAGAGAAATATCGATGTGAGAGAAACACATCAATTGGTGGCATCCTGCACACGCCCCATTCAGGGCCCAGGCTGGGGAGAAGCCTGCAACTGAGGTCTGTGCCCTTGACAGGAATCAAACCTGGGACCCTTTGGTACCTGCAACTGAGGTCCGTGCCCTTGACAGGAATCAAACCTAGGACCCTTTGGTCTGCAGGCCAACGCTCTATCCACTGAGCAAAGCCGGCTAGGGCTATCAGGTTAAATATTGTAAAAAGATCCAAAAGGCCTTAGTTATGTTATCTCAGTAAGCATTTCCATAATTAGAGATGAACAGATATATTCTAAAGCAAGTCTAAAAGTTTTCAACAGAATGATTTTCATTCAGGTTGTATCTGTAATCACACTGTGCAGTTAAGTTGGAGCCTAAAGATAAAATTATAAATTTAAGTTTCTCAAACTTTGAAAAATTTTTTAATCTAAATAAGTTATCTGTCAAAGAAAATATTATAATATACATAGAAGGTTAGCAATCACTTTAAAGATAACACAGGTAAAGATCATTCTGAATACTGAGAAACTGAATTGTAGGGAGATGAGATGACATAACCCATCAGACCTTCATCTCATATTTCCCAGTTTGGTGATTTACTGATGTATTATCTATCTCACCCAGTACAAATTTACAAATAAAATTTTATAGCTAGCAATTGCATAAATTTAAGTTTATTTCTAAATATTCTATTCTGTGGGGCAATTTTGACATTAGCAAATGTCATTATCAGATAATGTGTCAAAAGCTTTGTAAAACTTGTGATATTCTCTGAACAGAATCAGAATATTGATGTGACAGTACTTCATTTTTCACATGCCCTAAGAATATAAGTGAAACTGAAAAATCTTATTAATTTGCTGCTTAAAGTTGTAACAATGCAACAACAATAATAATAATTGTTGGGTTCTCATATCCCATGCACCATATTAAAGTACTTTCCATTTATTATCTTATTTTATTCTAAATGTCCTATGGAATAGATACTATATCAGACCATTTTGCATTCAAGAAACACAGATGACTTCTTGGATCTTTTGGTTTCGAATCTTATCCTCATAGCTATTAAATATCATGAGGTGTTTCAATAACTATACCCATTTTACTAACATTACATTTTATAATTCATAAAACACTTTAACACACTTTATAAAAACCTTGTAAGCCATTCATGTATGCATGCTTATAGCAAGTAATTCTGGCTCGCAGCTCAGAAATGGAAGAACCAGGAGGAGAGGAATAAGATATAGTTCCCAGTTTAGTGTTCTTCCTCTGTACCATGCTACTTCCTCAGGAAAGCTTATCACTTCCTCTCAGTTGAATGGACTGCTTGGGGAAAGATAATAACTTTTGCCAAAAATGTTAAATTCAAATTCAATTTTTATCATTATAATTAGTTAATTTATTAATATTAATAATAAGAACAGAGCAAAGGGGAAGCCAGCATTGTCAGCATGGTCATCAGGACAGCTTCACCAGGAAGCTACAGCTTCAGGCTCCCAGGGAACCACCAATCCATTCCCTGCAGATCACTGTGGGAAGGGATCAAACAAAGAGGGATATAGGTGCATGCACAGTGAAGTTGGGGTCACTTAGGGAAGTGCTTGCCAGTCAGTCTAGCCTGGAAAACAATGAATTGGCTAGAAGGGTGGAGCCACTGCGAGCATGCATATTCTTGGAAGGGTAAAATCCCCAAGGCAAAGTGTTCTCTCTCTCTTGCTTTGTTCTTGCCCTTGCATCCCCTTGCTTTGTGACCTGTAGTCGCCCCTTGCATTTGCCTGCCATGCGGTCTTAAGTAGCTGCTTGGCCCAGGGCCATGCGGACTCCACACACAGGATGCTGGACTGCACTGTGCTTTATTATGGAGTGGAGACTCTGGGTAGTGGCCTTAATTCTTGCCCTGCTGAAGACAAGATTGAACTTTTTCTATGGCAGAACAGAGGGAAATGGGGCAGTGGAAAGCCAGGGGTTAAATTCCACAAAATAGAGATCACTCATCCTCCCATGCAAGAACCCCACTTCCACAGGTAACAGGTGGGGATACAAAGTTAACAAACTTTATTGCTTCTTATTCTGCACCAATGATTGCACTGTAAGCTACCAGGAAAAAAATATATGAATAAAATAGGATCTTGAAGTAGAACTGGCTTCTTTTTTTTCTTTCTTTCTTTTTTTAGGTATAGATGATAGGGACAGACCAGACCTTCTAACAAAGGCAAGAGATGGAAGAGTGAGAAGAAAGGAAGAAAGACAGGCAGCCAAGGTATCAGTGCCCTAACTTAAAACTAGGAGGAGATTTGCTCCAAGAACCTAGGATAGTGCCTAGGTACTGTGATTCGATTGGCAAAAAGGAAACCAAGAGCTCTTCTTTTAACTCTATGCCCAATGAGCAAATTTTCCAGTCATTACCTAGATTATAGTACTGACTTGTGTCTAAGATCTTTGCAATTTTGCTTAGATCTCACTGGCTATAGGCAAACGTCATATTTTAGTAGAAAACATTATCGCTAACCATATTTTAATTCTAGAATTGTGGGGCTATGGCAGAGACAACTAATATAAAGATATAGCCCATGGGAGATCTGTCAGACTGCCGCTAAGCATCAAGAAACACTCACAGCAGACACTCATATGCAGTTAGAAACCTGGATGAGTCACGTGGCTGCATGTGGCACCTGGCAAAAGAAGGATCAGAATACTCTTCATCAGCTTATTGTTGTAAGATCTTTGACCCAATTTAGTTTTTATTATTATCAGACTGATTCATAGTTCAAGCATCTTGGTTGAAAAAAAAATTCGAGGTGGGGGGAGTTTCTCTGGAGTACAAGCATGGCTTGTAAAAACAAAACAAAACAAAAAACAAAACAAAACAGATCTTAGACAGAAACAGGACATTGGAAAAGAGTCTAGAACCTTATAAGTAAGAGAACCATAAAGGACTTAGAGATCTTCTAGTCTAAACCTCAAAGCTGCATATACTGAAGCTAACTTCTCCATATGTTTAATGCTCACAAGAAAATGCCTATATGAGCATATACTTTAATTCTGAAAAGTCAGAAAATTTTTAAACTATTAATAAACTTCATGGATCTAAATTTTCTAATTGTCTTTTTCTTGTGGAAATTGATAGCAGAAGATACCCAGAAATTAGGTAAATGAAAAATAGAAAAAGAATGTTATTTGAAACTAATCTTATTGAAACATCTGTTGTAGATCCAGAGTATGAAATTCTACCAGGATGATGCAAAAACACTAGTAAGATAGAGAAAGACAGGGTCAAGCAACCACCCTATAGATTTTTTTTCTCATAGAATATGCATTGTCTGTGCAAATTTCATGTGAAATTGCCTATTTTAACACATCAATATCTAAAAAGTATGCAATCTAGTGAAGCAAATCCATAAATTGCTAGATATTGAAAACTAATATGTAAACACATTTCCTCTCCTACCTGTAAAAATGTGTCTTCTTAGTGACCACAAAGGTCAAATTCTTGCCAGTGCTATAGGATTTATACCCAACTTACTGACATCAGCATTTATCTCAGGAGAATCCCAACTGTTTCAAGAAACAATTAAAAATGAAATCCTAATGGAGAGCATTCTCATGGGGAGAAATACTAATTGGTAGTACTACACTTTCTCAATTCAAGATTTTTTAATTCTGTATTTTATAATTCATTGACGTTTAGACCATTTGTCTGCTATGAGTAGTAGGGCAATATTTAAGACAATAATGAGAAACAAATTTACTATACTTTGGGGACACAACTCATGAAACTGAAATCAGGTCATTTTCTTCATCATTTCAAGTTCTCTAACTTATTTCCTACATTGTTTGTCCTTTAACTAATTCACACAAAATATGTTCTCAGTGCAAAGTTCAATGCTGTTTACTCCCCAGAATACAAATATGAATAACATATCTGTCCCATAAAGAAGTTTACAGATTGATGGGATACTTAAATAAATAATACTAGGTACAAATGATTAGTTTCCAAAAGAAAAACACATGGAATGTGAGACACTGGTAACTACCAATGACAACAACAGTGCTTCATATAGACAATAATCAGCAAATATATGTCAAATATATGAAAGACTATATTTAATTTATTGTTTCTACCATGCCTCCCACGTTTGGTTTTCTGGCATCAACATCACCTGTTGTTTCTTCCACTTATTAAGCTCATGGCCTTTCTTTTTGTTATTCCAACATGCCAGGCTTCATGGCTAAAACTTTGATTCTCCTGGTTACAATTCCCAAAGAGTTCGGTTATGATTGCCTTATGCTGTTTATCTAGACTGCAATTCAAATGTCACTTTCTCCAAGAGTCCTTTCCCGTCCATTGAAGCTGACCTTCGCTTCTGATGTGGCCAGTTACCATCTTCCATACTGACTTGTCTTACTCTCTCCACAGCATTTACCCATACCTGAGATATTCCTTTTTTTAATTTATCTTTATTGTTAAAAGTATTATGGATGAGATATTCTATCTGTTTGTTTGCTATCTGACTCCCCTCCCTCCTAAAGTTTAATAAAGGAATTTTTGTCTTTATTGTTGAATCTCCAGTTTCTAATATATTGCCCAGTGATCAACATAAGTTCAGTGAATAAACATTTTAAACCAATGATAGCAATCACTGTCTCCAGATAACAGCTCAGCAACAGATCAACAGATCTAGAAAGCAACCATGCAAAATCCAAGAGTAAGATAGAAGCCTCCAGGGAGAAAGTGTGCATATTATAGGTCATCTATCAGTTTGTCTCTATAGAAGGTCCTGTATAGTTCAGTGAAA